TCCCATTCTGTGCCTTACACACCAGACTGACCACTGCAGTTTCTAAGTACCTTCCAGTTGTGCACTGAGTGCCGACAGTGGCGTGTTGGTTGTCTCAACCTTTCTACGGTAAGAATTGATTGCAGTAAAGTGTTTTGTATTGGACCCTTTCTGTAACTAGTACTGGCTCACATACAAAAATACACACACCCTCCTACATTCTGTTGTATTTTTGTTAAAGAAAGCAAGTTCAAGGAAATGGCAATGCATTTCTGCATTTAAGGACTTGTGAGGGTCCCTCTGTGAGCGTTTACTCAACAGGTTCCTTGGGGAACAATCAATGACTGTCCCATATACATCAGAGCTGTAGCATGTATGATTGGTGAGCAGGTCCTGCAAAAGAATCATTGATTTTTGTGAATTAAAAAAAGAGCGCAGAGAGAGTAGAGGAAAGCAAGAATAAAGTGTAGGGCATTTGGGAGTGATGGAGGGGATTCAAACTGATTTATTCAAACTGATTTGCTGTAAATGTTCCAACTTCTTGCTTTTAAAGGAGCAAGTGTCAGAGATTTCAGATTTTTTTTAGTTCTCAACAATCTTCCTTAACTTCACTAAAGTACGCCTCTGTGATCCACCCAGCTACTGGTCCAGTCTTTGGATATTGGTACTGGAAATTGTGCTTTAGAGTTAGAAGAGGTTTTTCCTTTTAGGAGCGTTACAGAAAGATATCCAGCTGTCGTATGACCTGAGCTTAATGAGGCTTACTGCTCTGAAAATATAATCTGAGTGTCCCATTGTTCTAATTAACATTATGCTTTCTTGACTAGCATGAGGCACATAGGTACAAGGTATAAAAATTAGGGTTACAGAAAAAGAGAAGGTAAAGAGTCGGGTATACTGATGAGAACTGAATGGACAAAAGCAAGCTCCTACCTGAGGAAGAGATTGCTCTACTTGCTATCTGTGGGCTGTAAAGATTTTATATGAGGGGAACAAAGATGTGAGGAGCAGGAGAGCACACTTTTTTGACTAAAAAAAAATATTTCTGTGAAATAGCAGTTTCTAGTTTGACAGGAGTGAGACACATTTAGATCTGCGAATGCATTGCTACAAAAGCATCAAACCTTTGCATGGGAGAACTGCAAGGTTTGAGGAACTATGCATTTATTTACTGCTCTGAACCAGTGCACACTTGCTATATTTTCTTTTTACTGCTTTCAGTCAAAGAATCACAACAACAACAGAGGAGGCTACATGGACATGCTGTATACAATTTTAAGGTGAAAAAGTTGTTAGCCTGTGGACAGCTAATAGGGAAGAAGCTTGGCAAGAGGCAAATTAGTGTGAGATAGTACGGTATCCACTTGTTTGTCACTCACATCATTGCTAGAAGATACAGCAGCATGCAGGCAAGATCAGTAGCAGTCTTGTGGAGCTGTGTGTTTCAATGGGTTCAGCTGGCTCTTTAAGGTCAAAATCTGTTTTGACATCCTTCCTCCTTGTCTGGCTTTTTTAAGCTGCTCAAAAAAATTATTTGTACCTTGTGTTGCCATGACTTTTGAAAAAAAAATTACCCAAAACTTTCCAGTTAGAGAAGTGAGAAACTGCAGAGTGCAGATAGTAGCAGCAGAGCTCAGTGTTCCTATAGGAACAAGCTCACAGTATCGCAGTACTTCCCAGCTTTAAGTACAAGAAGGCTTTGGAAAGAAAAAAAAAAAAAAAGCATCATAAACTAATAAAGTTTGGTTTCCTGTGGATTTAGTGTCATTATTGATTGCAAGCTATTACTGAAGCTTTTGCCTTTTTAGGGCATTTCTAGGTACTGTTTCACATGTGGATCCTCTGCTGCCTAATACAAGCAGCTCACTTTTTTTCTTCCCCACTGTGGGAATCCTAGAGGTTTGCTGTCCTCCATCACCCACCAGTTGTTGAACTGGATTTAACAAGCCATGAGGATAGGTAAGGATTAGCAGATACATAGATTTACACGGACTTAAAGAAACACATGTAATGTGATCACTTTATCAGGCTAAAAAATTTTTTTTCAACTTTCAAAATGATTTGTGATTATCTTTTGAGGTGAGGGAGGGTGGTGACACTGCTTAGTTTATCCAAAACTTTTTGTATATTATAGAATATGTTTACACATCATAAAAGTGTATTCAGAATAAAACCCCTTGTTGCTAGTGATTTAAGCTGTCAGATAAAAAAGGTGTGCTACTATCTAGCAGAAGAAATGTATTAGCATGCAGAAAGCAATGCAGCTTCCTCTGGGAGGTTTTAATCAAGCCTCTTGTACTGATTGAGATGCAGTGCTCAAAAGTGAGAAAAATTATTAACAAAATCAAAAATCTAGAGCGTTTTTCACGCAAACATTCATCAGTATATCTTATGTAATTACATAGCCAATAAATCAGCATAGTGTGTAAGTGCTTCAGTCACAGTATAAATATCTTAATGACTGAAACATCTTCACACATGAATAATTTATACCTGTATGATTCATTTTTCATATCCGTGCTTTGCTTCAACATGATAAACTAATCCTTCTCTGTCAGGGAATGTGTGCTTGATTATTGCCTTCTGATTTCTCATCCTTGTGTTTATTTTCCACAGTTAGACACACTCCATTTCTTCTGTTCTGACTCCTCTAATGTAGTTATCTTATTTATTCATCCTGTCTGCCTTGGTTTGCCTTCCCAGTGCATTTCAACAGGCACCTGGGAAATAACGCTAGGGCATAAGCTGATCGTGTGTTTCTCAAGTAACTTGAGAAAGGAGCAGCATCTTGAAAGATCTACTCATTCTCAACAGATATTTGCATTTAGTTTCCTCTCCTCAAGGCAATCAGTACAGAAAGAAATTGTGATAGGCCAATATCAAGTTGAGCTTTGCCATTTTCTAGATCGATGTGAGTTCAAACCTTTGTCACAATACTCATGACAAACATTGGTCGAGTCATCCTCCCATATGTTTGTAAATGCAAGCTTGTTTGTAGCTCCAGAAACCACTGGAATATTCAAGAAAGAAATAATTGTTTGTTAGCATGGAAATGGGAATTGGGAATTCTTAAATTCTGTTCTGGTGCCCATGCTTATTTGGCTGTATGCAAGTCACTGCGTGCATCCTGCCTTACTTAGACCCCTGAACAAGGCGTCTAAGACAGGAGTTTGATTGTAATAACCTCCTCCTTTAGTTACTAGAGAAAGACAAGTAGCTGCTGAGGGCAGTTCATCCAGCTTTAATGCCTGAAGCTCTAGGCAGGAGTGCTACTCCATGAACTCTCTTCTTTTGGATCATGATTTAAAGTTCGGTTCAGATTTGTGGAGCAGCTTATTTTGTTAGTGCCTGTAGAAGCTCAGTTTTTAAAAAGCTAGCCTCAGATAGGCACAAAAATGAATCACTTTTAGATTTAATGGGCACTTTCAAAAATACTTAATCTCCCCTTCAAACCCTCAGCTTTCTAACTGGAAAAAAGACAACAGGAATACAAAAATGATTTCAAGTTGTGGGGGAAAAAGGAGTTCTATAATAATTAACTGATGCTTTACTGGTATTGTATGCTGTTCTGTCCAAGCACCTTTTTTCACTCCATTTCTATATCCAGTTTAGCTACATTACTCTAACTAGGAAAAGCACCTTAGCTGAGTGTTAGTTAATCAAACTCTCATTCAATTTCTGGTGTCATCATATAGCCTGTTAGTTTTGCACAGTAATACGCTGTTTCACAGTCTTTCTCTTCTGTATCAGAATTACATTTTGGGGCTAATTTTCTAGACTTAAGACTGAATGGAATATTGTATATCTGTCTTCTCCTCCATACTTTGAAGCCCAGCTGCACTTCTTTTACAGCTTCGATCTCTGGGACTTCTGAGAGACATTGCAGTTGAACATTTTCTTAGTATTCATACAGCAGGCTCCAGTACTCTGTGAATACAACTCTCTCCTGTTTACTAGCAGGACATTTGGTAACTTTGCTCCAGCATAAGTCTTTGTTCATTCATTTTTTCCTTATTCTGATTGTAAGCACCTCCAAAGGCTTCTAATATCACTTTCTTTGTCTCAGTCTTTTTATGTCCTTAAAGGACACCTTCGCTTACCGTATCTCACTCCACTGCGATCAGTTGTTGATCGATGGGTATTGGTTAGTAGGAGTTCTCAGGCAGTCTCCAGAATGTACTTCAGCCTTATCACTGCCTGCTTTGTTTTGGCATTTAGGAAGCAGCCTGCTGTCTTTTTTCGTTGTTCCGTCTAGCACTTGTCTCTCTTGGGCATAGTTCCTCACCATAGTCGTCAATCATGACTGTTGCTGCCTCCTATTTTTCTGTTTTCTTTTTTCAGCGTTGGTCATTTACTATCTGTGCCCTGTTGCAAGTCAGTACTTTATCCAGTGACAGGATATTACAAGAATCTTCTGAACCTCCTCACGTACATTTTGCATTAACTCCTACTATTTCTAGCTGTCATGCCTCCCGCACTTTCACCATTTTCTCCTAAATTGTCCTCTTTTTTTGTGTGAGGGATTTCTGGTAGACCCTTTCTTTGACTTCTTCATTTTATTATTATAGCTGTTGTCCACAGACCTTCCTCTTCTTTTCTGAAAATTAATTTAGCATCCTTCTCTAACCTATTCATTTCTTTCAGATCATTTTCTACTTTTTTTATTAATTCTGTTTCTTCAGCATGCCTGTTTTAAATTCCAGATAATTTTTAGCTTCAGTTGTTCAAGAGAGTGATTTGCTAACACATCCTGGTTCCCTAACCTGGTCCATCTCTGATTCTGACACATTCAGAAGCTTCTCGACATCCCTGATTCACAAACTTCCTCTTGCTTTTATCATTTTCAACATTAAGAGCTGATTCTTGATGCTGAACCTGATGCTATTCCGGAATTTCTTTATGTGGCATGTTGTCTGGTTAGAGAAATAGAATAGCCATGGAGATTTTAGGGGGGAAAAGATGAAAATGGCATAAATACTACATTGGTACAATACTGATCTTTTGTTGTCTAATTTTAACAGATTCAGTAGCAACAGCGTCTGGGCCACTGCTAGTTGAAGTTGCCAAAACTCCTGGTGCTGCTCTTGGGGTTGCACTAACTACCTCGATGTGCTGCAACAAACAGGTCATTGTCATAGACAAAATCAAATCTGCGAGTATTGCAGACAGGTGAGTGTGACAGAGGGCTGACAGTGCAGGTCCATACATCCATTTTATTTCTACTTTCATTTGGTTTGGTTTTAAAGAAACCCTTCCCTTTTTTGATAAAATTGACCGAACCAGATGTTCTCAAGGTTGCAGGTCTTAAAATTGGCACTTTGTGAGATCGTTGTTCCACACTGCCAAGTGTAAGACTTCCAGGACACCGCTTACTTTAGCTCATTCATGTAGTATTCAATGCCATAAGCCAGCCCCCATGTAATACGTGACTGTCTGCTTGCACTATGCAATACAGGAGTTTAGAGGTCTGCTCTGACTATGAAATGTAATGCTGTGGCAGAGATTAGTGTTTAAAAAAATAAATAACCCACTGGAATTCTTAAAGTAAGCCTACAATATGGAACAGCTGTCAAGGGAAGTAAATTTTGAGGCTTTGCAACCTTGAAGTGTTCTTTTAGAATATATCACTCATTCTTGTGGCACAGTGAAATGGAACTCCTTATGTCTGGAATTTTTTATTGGTATTTTAGAATACAACTGAGGTATTAGGAAGACTGGCTTCTGTATTTTGAAGATATTTTGCTGTAATTTTTCCACTTCATTTAAACCTTTAACTAAAACCATTTAAACCATTAAAAAAATGATAGATATTTTTCCCCAGTGGTTTAAACCTCTGTAACAGAGCTGTGGGATCTTTTCTGGGGTGCGTGCGTGTGTGTGTGTGTGTGTATGTGTTTATACATATACAGTATATTTCTATATACATATCTCTATCTAAAAATTCCTTAAATATTACGTTTCAGCAGCAAATTCCTCCTGCATGTCCCCAGTCACCCTACCTTGTAACTCCTCTTTGACAATGGTGCTTTTGGTAGCACCCACTTGTAGCAGTGAGTCTACAGCTCCTCTG